ACAGATACAAGCACCAACAGCGTCGCATTCGCGGGGTTTTCTCTCCGCTGGGCCAATCAGGAGCGCAGCTGTATTGAATTTTGATCCTTCCCGACGGATTCGTCACCTGCTATGTACGAGTACAACTTGTTCGACGCTACCTTGGTCCTTTAGGAGATAAAAGGTACTAAGGTAGTTGGCTCTGGGGAGTTTAAAACATCCACAGCCATTTTGTTAGTATTGATGCAGGGCTGTCCGTAAGACGGGATAAGCTTTCCAAGATTGCATTCTTTTCCAGTCAGCTTCTCGACGAATTGGAGCCTTATCCACCCACGCCCCAATTCTCAAGCCCCTGCTCTTCGGTAGGGAAGAGGGCACAAGACACGGGAGGGAGATGGAGAGAGGGGAGAGGCTGTTGAGGAGCGCCTAGTTTGAAGTTTCTACAAGTCAATTAGCCGCTTGGGGCGCTCCGTGGCTTTACTTTCTTCTTCTATTCTTTTTTTACGCCGCCCAAACTCCGGAGCCTTGCTTGTTCCTGTTGCAGTCTGTTTGGTTTGGTACCTTGAAGTGGGGACATTTCACGGAGAGGCCGGAAGAAGCCACAGCATCTCCATTCACATGCCGCGTTCGGCTACTGAGCAAAGTGGGAAAGGAAAAAGAGAGAGAAAAAAACTTCTTGTGCGTATTCGCGGAGTCAAAGTTTGTGCCTCGAGCCCGAGCAGGTCCTGCCCGGTTGTAGCATCACAAGGCTGAGCGTAAAAGGCTCTGCCCCCTATTAGGTGCATGTATATAAGGTACTCGTAAAAGACCAAGGGACAATTACGAAATGCAGCGCAATGCCATCGTCGTCATGGAAAGGTACGAGTACAAGCATCTTGGTGGGAAATCTTACGAGCGGCAAGTACTATACCTACCTCCCTTTGGTACCTACCAGTAGTCGGCAATCCTCAGCACCCCGAACGCTTGAGTCTTGCGCGGCCCCCGCATAAAAACTGGGAAAGAGGAAATTGCCGTTTCAACAGACGTGCATTAGCTCGGGAGTCGTCAGCCGTCCATGGCATCATAGGTCTGTAACTTGACTTTACTAGCACCAGCTACTCTGTACTCTGTACTCTCAAGGCGAGGGGTGTTGTCTCTCTTTATAATTAGCACACCTGAAATTGCAATCGTCGTGCGCGCCAAGTGTCAACTGATAAGGGCGCGGGATGCTGTACTCTCAGTGGACGGGATGACCTGTAATATCGAATACATGTATGCATGCATGCGAGCTTGGCAGGATCTCGTTAGAGCCTGTTTGCACCTGGCCAGCGGGATTCATTCCAAAGCTGCCATTGGCAGTTGCCAGCCAAGGTAGTTGAATCAATCCATTGCACGGGGGTGCGTTTTCAAGAAGAAGAAGGAGGAGGTGGTGGTGGTGCTGGAAAGTGCAACGTAGCACGTTACCAGGGCACACAGAAAGGAAAGAAAAAGAAAAAAAAAAATACAAAGTTACATGGCGAGTTACTTAGTAGCAGTACCTCCTACCTCCATACCTAGGTACAAAGCTACAGCCACCTGATACCTACCTGGTAAAGAGGACAACAGCTTGTCGAATTCTCTTCGCCTAAACCAACGCAAAAGAGGACCGCAACGGAGCCACAGCAAAGATCCATCAGAACAGCACAGTCGAGTCAATGCGCTGTCAATTGGCCCGGGACTGCTTAGATCGATTTCGATCCAGCGACCATGTGCAAAACAGGCAAAGCGACGCATCCACCACGAGATGCCCCCTGAAATCCTCGAGACCAGCCACCTTTGACAGCCCTTCTGTCGGACACTTGCCATGGAGCATCCACTCTACATGACACAGGCTACGGGAGCAAAGTGACCGGCTGGTTGCCTCTTGTCCAATTCATGACGACAGTTTCTTCATTTGCCGGCATTGCTGCGGGCTCGCGCTACGGGGCCACGGGGCCTCTGAGCTGGTGCCGGTGCTGGTGCTGGTGCTGGTGCCGGTGCGTTACTCGTTTCTTCCTTGGATGGCGGCAGGCACATGCACATGCAGGTACGGAATTCGACACGGAGAAAACACAGCCTGCCTTACCCGTCTCCATTACCCGTCTCCATTGCCCGGCCCGAGGCTGGACCAGGGTGCGTTTCCTTATCATTCGTGGTCAGGACACTCGTACTGCCTATTTGATGCAATTGCTTGTTGTACGGAGCACCGAGTACACGTATAGTATTACACTCGTACGAGTACATCCGTCCGGAGTGCGGATACCGGAGCATTACCACCGAGCAGCACGTGTGATTGATGGCTTCCCTTGGCTTAGCGACGGAGTGTGCTCGCTATCGTGCATGCCATGCGGAAATCTCCCACTCGGCAACTTGGCTCATGGAAGCTGGGAAGACAGATTGAGAGAGACACACATTCAGTCGACGGGAAATATATTTGATAATGCCACATATGTTGGTCGTAGGCGGTTCTCGTTGCAAAAGAGCGCTGCCATAACATGAACCCTGCTCAGCCTCGTCTTGCCTCTGCCATTGACTGCTGGCAAGACACACCACAAATGACTGCTTTCACAGAGCACAATGGTGCATATCTGCTTGTATTGGCAAGCTTGGCTATACAAGTACATATGTACGCAACCCCTTGAAAAGACCCAGGGGAGAAAAGCGGCTCCCCCTGTCGATCACCTAGGATCCTCAGCCGCTTCTATGATCTACCAAGTTGTACGCTGGCCCGTGTTAGATCTGATCCTGCGTATTGGTCGACAGGCCGGCCAAAAACCCATCTAGTGGTGCTTTGGCACTGGCATTGGTATTGGCACTTTCAACACCCGCGTTGAAGGACCTTTGAAGCAACTCACCGTTGGTAACTACATCTGTAACCTACGCGATACCGCTCTTCTGGTCTCGGATCCGAAATAGTCATGGGATGCAATTTTAAGGCTGAACTCCTAGGGAAAAACCACCTTTGTTTACAAGACTCAGGCGGACCAAAAGGCTTCGCTACCGTGGATAGCTTCATGATGTACAACCGCACTACAGGGTATCATACGCTCCTGATGTCTGAGTCTCGTCTTTACGCAACTCAGCGAACACTTCCGCCAGCCATCCAATGGTAAAGTTTATCGACCACAGCCTCCTCCTATGGCAACAACGACAACCTTTTCCCTACGCAAGATATGAGTTTTGAGGACGGACCTCTACTAATGAGAGATCTAATGAGTGTTTGCCCTCTGTGATGTATATGATGGTGTCGCCTACCCAGTCGATGGCTACAACTTGTTTTGATCGCCGACAACAACCAAACTTCGGCCATTGTCTCAGAGCCAAGAGTTTCGCTCAATCACAAAAGAGTGGTCGTGATTCCGTCTTATTTAAATGCTTCGTATGGCCGAAACTCGTGAGCTCTATAACGTGAGTCTCTGCGCAACAGGCTCATCATGCCGTCTTCTCTTATCCATGCATCAATGGTTATGTTTCCCGATCGTTTTCTCATCCTCTATCCTGCTTCCCGGCTGTTTCTTTCCAATTATTCTGTTTCACGATGGATTTCTGGCGAAGTTTCGGGTTCCTTTCTATGTGCAACACGGATACAAGCAACTCTGGCTCATCCAAAACTCGATCCTCACGCTGAGTGTTGTTTTGAGAGTGTTTCCCGGCACGATGATTGCGAAACAAGATGCCCAGAGGGACCTGAAAACTCCACGATAGAGCTAATATAACATGAAAGGATGCCGCGAGCGGAAGGCTCTAGTGGCACCATAAATGTCGAATGTCAACTGGCTCGAAGCTGTCCAACTCCTGGGATTCGTTACTGGCTTTCATCTATCACGATGGGACAAAAGAAGAAATCTTAAAGACAAGAAAGCTTAAGGACAGAGACAAAGAATCTCGAAGACAAGAAGTCTCAAAGACAAGAGATCTCGAAGACAAAAAATCTCGAAGGCAAAAATCTCCAATACCTTCACGTGTAACGATTTGGGACATAATACCTCGGGCTCGTTTCATATATACCAACCTGAACAGAACTTGCTGGCCCCCTTACTCCAACTCTATTCAGAGTGTACGATGAGACATGCAGTAGACATTGCATGACACTCTGGCGAACACAGAAAATCGTGAATATCGCTGAGAGTTGTTTCGCTCGCCACGATCCAATCAAGGCCGTGACTTGGTCATATGTCTTCAATCTAGATCTCCGACTCTGATTTATGAGTTCTTCAAACTAAGCTACGGAGCGATGAAGATGACTCTATACAGGATTTATTCTTTTCACAGAAATGGGACCTGATATATCGCATAATATCGCATTTGTCGAGGTCGTCTGACACCAGATGGGCGGAATTGGCGCCTGCGTATGGCTGTGATACGGCTAAACTCTCAAGAGGCTTCAGCATCTTCCTCTACACGCTCTGAGCGGTTGTCGATTCTGTCCTAATTCGCCCTTTCCGGAGCCTCCCTTGGTTCTGAGCATCGCCAATGGGCCATCTATTCTGGCTTAATTTGTCTCTGGATTGAAATGAAGCGACAATTGGACATATATGAGCTACTGCTCTGACAAAACATTGCACAGACAGATGAAAAGCAATATCCATTATTAACAAACTATATTGCAAGCCAAAAATTGGAGAAGAGAAAACTATTGGATGCTGATCATGACCCAGCAAAACACGATCCGTGGGACTAATGCCATCATGACCTGCAGATCGTGATCGGCTGTTGGGGAACACCCTCCAACAAGTGGATAAATCAATCGAGCTTGGTCATGCTTCTCTCAATCGTGGGATGTCGATAATCGTGGAAGACAAGGGGCCGTGAGGAACATTATCCCAAACGGGGGAGGTCCCTAGATGGAAATGCTGGGCAATTAATGCTCACCATCGGGGATTTATTGATATACATACTCCCTGGTGGTCTCTGAACCTTCCCTCCCTCGCTCCAATTATTTCGCAAAGGGCGTACTCCGTGCCTGTATCGCCATTGAGGAAATGCGGGACCAAGCTGTGCCATCAAACCCACCGTTGGCCACAATGACTAAACTGACGCTGCAAAAGCGGCCAACAAGAGGCAGAGAAACAAAATCGACAGAAGAGCGTCGCCGTATGATGCAATTGCCCCAGATCTCAAAGGGCCGCCGGGTAATGGCGCATTTCGTCATGGGAAACGAGACAATGGCATTGAAAATCTCGGTGAGACTGAGGCGTAGTGAGGCGCAGCTGAGGGAGCAGGGACAAGGAGCGGCGCCCGATCGTGAACGCGACGGCGTAGCCGGTCCGGGGGTTTTGGCTCCACACGCGACCGGTTGATTCAACTCCATATCAGAGGCATCCGCCGGCAACGGACCCCTCGTTATTGATTCAACCATTCCAAGATATAAAACCATTGAACTGTCGTCGTTTGTCTGGACTGTTTGTCAACTACAAGCTCCAGCTCGCCCCCAAGATTGCTTTTGTCGGTGCCGGCATCAGTCCTGGTCGAGTCGTTGTTTACAGCACAGCACAGCCGATCTGTTTGCCTATCAACAAGGACAAGATGGCAGCCGAAAACGACGTCTATGTTCTTCACTATTTCCCGTTTTCTCTGTATTCACTCATGGTGCGATTTGGTCTCGTACTAGGGAGACGGCTGAATTCAGAGACGGCGCCAAAAGTTGAAATCAGGCTGGTGAATCTCCACAGAGAAGAGAACTATTCAGAGCTCTACCTCACTTCGGTGAACTCAAGAGGCCGGGTTAGTCATCCAGAATATGAATATCGGATCGTGTCTGTTTGGACATCTGACGAGAGTGATGTGAGATGCTGACACTGAAAGCAGGTGCCAGCACTGACAGCGCCTGGGCTTGCATCACCACTCACAGATAGTTATGACATCTCTAAATGGTTGTGTGAGAAACAACCAGAACTTATTCCTGACTGCCATCGCGAAATGATCCAGGAGATGATGGAAAAGCTGTACAGCTTTCATGCCATGACTCTGACGATTGGGCCCGACGAAAGGAAGCACGGCATTCTCAATCGAGCGGCCGAGCTGCTGGAGAGGAAGGATTTAACCGAGCGCCATCGCAGAGCACTGGAAATGAAGAGTGTCTTGTAAGTTTTGTTCTATGTGAACCTTGATCAATTATACGGGAATGGTGTTAACAGTCTCTCTAGTCACGATCTGTTCCACAACAGCATGTTCACGCCTGCTAGCATCGCGGATGTTGAAGCCAAGGCTCGCGGCTTTGTGCAAGAACTTGACACAATCCTCGAGCAGCACCGGGGGAAACTTTGGATCTTTGGAGACAAGCCAACCATACTGGATGCGCATGCTACGGCACTGATAGCGCGGCTGATGGACGTGAGCCGACAGGACTTGCTGACGGAGAGAGTGCAAGAGTACGCAAGGGGGATCTTTGCGTCGGAAGAGTGGGACGAGGTTACACACGGAAGGACGACGCTTTGGAATGTCTCGTTGGGCCACGTCGCCGACTTGAATCCACTGTAGTGGTGGTGTCTTGCGGACGCTTCCCCCCCCCCATCTCTTTCTTGATCCCCTCCTTACCTTTATATCCAATTTCCAGCGTGCTAGAAGCAGCTGCTTGTATTCCATATCCATAATATGAACTCCAACACCTAATACTCGGGGAAATATGAAAAACAGAAACCTTGTCATCAGAAAGTGCTAGACAGGGAGCATTAGAGGGACAGGGCAATGGCTCCGATATGTTGTCGTCTACGGAGTACAATTGGCTGCTTCCACTGAGCATAATGCCTGTTGCTCCGTATCTGTGACAGTTCTCATACTCGTACTCAGACTTTCGGTAGCATTGCAGCTCTCTCCACTCTGCGATCTTACTCTTCTCAGGATGCACTTCCGGGCAAGCACTCTTGCTCGGACTTTTGCAGGTGACACCAGCACTTTGTACAAAGCGACAAGAAGAGGATCGTTTGCGGCAGCGGGGTGTGCGGTAGTCGGTTGCCTATGCTACTGCGTCTCATATTCCTGGCATGGACAAGGGTTTTTGTCCCTTGCTGGCGTCTAGTGGAATGTATGTTCCCATCTCGATGCTACACATTGAGTTGTGACAAGGAAAAAAAAAGAAAAATCAAGCAGTGAGAATGGCGATGAAGATGCGATAAATGAATCGACAGTAGGTGTCATGCCTAGAGAGCGATTTGGGCCCACCAGACCATCACGCCTGTGCTGTAGCACCTCGGTGAAGATCTAGGTAAGCTTGATAAAGAACAGAAAAAAAAAAAGATTTGAACTTTGGGCTCTGATAGCCTCGTGGGGAGATCGGCAGCGAATGGAGCCCTTGGGTTAACAAACTACTAGCATCCCGCTCCGTGGCAAAAAGAAAGAGACGAGAAAATTTAAAAGGTTGAAACAGCCAAAAGGGAAAACTCAAAAACCGAGACAAAAGTGCCCTGAATCAAGTTCCCCCAGAAGAGAAGCCGCTGTGTCAAAAGGGCTGTAGCCGCCTACCTGCTTGTATACTCGTATGTAAGAGGGAAAACGGCGCCGGAAGAGGGAACTTCTGTTTGCCTTGGCCGGTCCGCGTCAAAAGTTCCACACTGTCGGGTGGCGGAGCGGAGCACAAACAGGCGACAGACAACCTGGATGGTCAGCAAATCGGGGAGGGAGCGTCTCGTCGTTGTTTGAAGCTGTCACGGTTGAGAGGAGAGCGCGGAAGAGGATTTGACCATGGCGTTGACACGACGATGGGCTTCAACGGGCCAGGGACGAGATAAACTGTATCGTCTGCACAGCGAGGCGGAGATGGCATCAGAGGGCGGGCCCAGAACTCCGAGTTTGCAGGGGGATGCCGCAGCTGAGAATTTTCGCTCTTTGTGGCGTCTGCACACGGTCGGGGAGGCGGCTTGGCTTGGCTGTGTGTGCCTGGTTAGTGCGTTGCTGTACAGTACGAGTAAGGAATTCGCATGAGACGGGTCATGGCTCGCGTTCTCGTTTGGAAAATGGGTGAGACGAGAGAAAAACGAGGCGTGAAGGGCGATACCGTGCCGCCCTCGCGGGATTCGTACCGTATGCAGCTCCGGTTGCCCAAACGGGACGGGCTTTGTCGAGAAGAAAAGATTGGAAGGGAAGCTCGGCTTCGCTTCGTCTTTGGTCTTTTGCTCTGCGGAGAAGAGAATTTTAAAATCTCTCAGCATCGAAGCAGTTGCTTGGTGCGAATACTGTATGTTGCAAGTCCACGCAATCTGGGGTCCCGAGATCGGATTTCAGAGAGATAAGATGCTTTTTGGGCTTGGGCTAGCAAATGGCATGCCCGGCTATTTCCCATTCAGCTTCTCGCGATTGCAAGCCAGAAATAACGCCATGCGAGGGGGAAGAGATAAGGGCCTTGTCACCCTGGGGCAGTGAGGCAAGTGAGGCTAGGCGGCCCCCTTGGCTGCATCATTGGCTGGCCACATTGCAAAACAGACTATTTTGCGCCTCGCAGCTCGGCACGGCAAGCAACTTGCAACAAGGCACATGCGAGTACTCAGTACTTGTGGCTCGGCTGCGTGTGTGCTGTGTTGTTGTTGGTGATGGTGTGAGTACAGGCGGTCAAGGTGTTGATCTGACATTGACTCCGAGCATCCTTCCTGTGACGATCGAGTACGCACATACATCCGGGGCCGAGGAGTTGGAGGCCGGCAACCAAACAATCCTCGATGGAATTCTCTCGGCTTGCGTGGATTCTGTGCAATGAATGTTTTCGCCCTCCGCTCTCCGTGCTCCCGCGCCTTGTTCAGACTGTCTCCAGAGTCCAGCCGCGGCGCTATGGTCCATTAGGAAGGTTCTTGGCTTCGCACGCCGTTGACTCCAGGAAGAGCAGGTTATCAGGCAATTGGCACCGCTCCAGCCAACCAACGAGCGTCCTTGGCCCAAGCCTTGGCTGCTTAGGAACGCCCTTCTTCTCTTCTGGCACATGTTTGGCACATGGTGGATGACAGGAACCGACAGGGGCTGGACGGCTAGCTGCGCACTGTGCTGCGCCGTCTCTGTCTCGGTCTGGTCTCGAGCCACACTGCCCATGTTTTGGCGGGGAATTTATCAAGATGGAGCCATGCCTGGTCGGCTGGACTCGTGAGAGCAGCCAGTATGGCGCTCACCAACGGGCCTTTTTGATTGGCAGGGCGTAGATGTGCTGTATTGCAGCCCATGGGGTTAGCGTCCCAGCGACTATCTGCTGGTGTTTTTGCAAGGTCGTCGCACTCATTCTCTCTTCCCACCCTCTCTACAAATCCTTCCTCACCGAAGAGAAAAATAGAGAGAGAGAGAGAGAGTGAGCGAGCGAGAGAGTGCGAGTCACACAGACTTGACTCCGCCCGATTCGATTCGACTCGGCTCGTTCCATCTGTCGACGACCAGACGGGCCACGGCGATAAAAGCGACGCCAGTTACAGCAGGGAAAAAAAAGCAACTGACGATGACCCGGTTTCTCACAGTCGACATGTTGCCGTCCATCTTCCGCCGGCGCCATGAGCCGGAGGAGATCACTCCGATCCCCGGCCCTCTGGAGCAAGATCTGCCCGGCATGCAACACCTTCAGCATCTCCAGCAGTTTGAAAAGGCACACAAGCTCGACCCCAACCTGCCCATCGACGACCTCAACGATGTCGACGCTGCTATTGCGACTGGCAATGCCGAGAAGGGCATCGAGATTGAGCATGCGCTCATGGAAGACAACAGTCCTTATCCCGAGGTATGCATGATTCAACCATGAGATGAAGATGGAGGAGAGCATCAACATGAGCTGGATGAATGATTGTATGCGTGAGTCGAGGGCCGTGTAAGCTGATGGATGAATCTTTTCTCTCTCTCTCTTATAGGTGCGAGCTGTTGTTCGAAACTACGATGTCGACGTCCCTGCCAACACCATCCGCGCCTGGGTCATCGGCTTGGTTCTCTGCACCGTCGGCTCTGGAGTCAACATGCTCTTCTCGCTTCGCAACCCGAGCGTCGCCATCACGACGTATGTCATCCAGCTCATCGCCTATCCCATCGGTCGCGGCTGGGATTTGATCATGCCCGACAAGGAATGGAATCTGTTTGGCATCAAGTTCAACCTCCGGCCCGGCAAGTTCAACCACAAGGAGCACGTCATCATCGTTGCCATGTCCAACGTGAGTATCATTTGCGCAATCAATGTCTGCCCTGTCCAGCGTAACTGATCCCCTCCTTCTTAGGCTGCCTATGGCGGTGGTGTGCTCTATGCGACCGACGTCTTGCTTGCCCAGCGCCTCTTTTATAAGCAGGATTTCGGCTGGGCGTTTCAGCTTCTTTTCGGCATCACTACCCTGTGTACTGGATACGGCCTCGCTGGCTTGGCCCGTCGCTTCTTGGTTTGGCCTGCCGCCATGATCTGGCCCGCCGACCTGGTCAACGTCGCCCTCTTCTACAGCTTGCACGACCACTCGCCATCGGATCCATCAAAGACCAACGGCTGGTCCATCGGCCGCTACAAGCTCTTCCTCATCGTCGGGTTCGGCGCATTCATCTGGTTCTGGTTCCCCGGCTGGATCTTCAAGGGCTTGTCCTCCTTTGCGTGGGTTTGCTGGATTGCCCCAAACAACGTCGTCGTCCAGAAGATCTTTGGTCCCTCCCACGGATACGGATTGATGCCCACCTCCTTCGACTGGTCTGTTTACAGCGGCTTCCTGGGCTCGCCCCTGATCCCTCCTTTCCATGCCATCGCCAACGTGCTCGGTGGCATCATCGTCTTCTTCGTCGTCATCTCCATGGGTATTCACTTTAGCGGCACCTGGTATTCCGATTACTTCCCCGTCCAATCTTCCGAGTCATACGACAACCTTGGCCAGGTCTACAACGTTTCGCGAATCCTCGGAAACGACTTGAATTTCAATGAGACGGCGTATAAAGAGTACTCGCCCTTGTTCTTGCCGACCCAGTTTGCTCTCGCCTATGCTCTGTCGTTTGCTGCCGTTGCCGCCGTGCTCATCCACGTTGCTCTCTACCACGGCAAAGAGATCTGGGGTCAGTTCAAGCTGGCCCGTCACCAGGAGGATGATGTCCACATGCGGTTGATGAAGAAGTACCGAGATGCGGAGGATTGGTGGTATGCGGGTATGTCATGTCCTTACTCTTCCGAGTACTCATCTTGATACGCCATGCCAAGTCGTGATGCTAACGAAAAGAACTTGCGCAGCGCTGTTCGTTGGCATGGTTGCCATTTCCTTCGGCATCGTCGCTGGCTGGGATACCGGCTTCCCTGTGTGGGCTTATGTCGTCTGCCTACTGCTTCCGATTGTATGGCTCATTCCCATTGGCATCATCCAGGCCATCACCAACATCCAGCTCGGTCTCAACGTCCTCACCGAGTTCATCATTGGATACATGGTCCCCGGCCGGCCTCTTGCCATGATGATGTTCAAGAATTATGGCTACATCTCCATGGCGCAGGCGTTGTACTTTGCCCAGGACCTGAAGCTTGGCCACTACATGAAGGTGCCGCCTCGTGTCATGTTCACTTCCCAGCTGTTGGCCTCCGTGTGGTCGGCCATTGTGCAGATTGCCGTCATGAACTGGGCTCTGGGCCACATCCCCAACGTCTGTGATTTGGACCAAGAGAACAACTATACGTGTCCCGGTGGCCGCGTCTTCTACACGGCCTCAATCATCTGGGGCGCCATTGGTCCCGCTCGCATCTTTAGCCACGGAGCTCTCTATGCCTCCCTGCAATGGTTCTGGCTTGTTGGAGCCATCACGCCCGTTGCCACTTGGCTGCTGGCTCGCCGCTGGCCCAAGTCTTTCTGGCGCTATGTCAGCTCCCCCGTCATTTTCGGAGGCACCGGCCTGCTCCCTCCCGCGACTGTCAACATCTATCTCTGCTGGGGAATTGCCGGCATCGTTTTCAACTACTTCATCAGGCGGCGATACACCGGCTGGTGGCTGCAGTACAACTACATTCTCTCGGCGGCGCTGGACTGCGGTCTCATCATATCCACGTTGCTCATCTTCTTCACCCTGTACTTGACCAACATGAACAGTCCCAGATGGTGGGGCAACGATGGCGCCGTGCAAACCATGGATTTCCAAGGTACTGCAATCTCCAAGCACGTACTTCCTGGTCAGAAAATTGGACCGGCGCAGTGGCCTTAGAAGAGGAAGAGGAAGAAAATTGGACGATTGACGATATGAAGGCAACAAAAGACGGTGTTTAGCTGGACGTACGGCGTTGAGAATGGAAGCAATGTTGGAACTGGGATTTTGGTATGGCATCCATATATTTGCATATTCATATATGTGTGCCTCTCTATGTCGCGCTGCTGGGGGGGATTTATTGTCTTGATGACCTGGGTTGGATTAGGATGGAGTTCAAAGGAGCTTTTGAGTTTGTTGCTGGTTTTCGATTTTTGTTTTTTGTTTTCCTTTTCCATTGGGATTGACTTTTGGCATCAGAGATACCTAATGACGGAATCGTGTCGATCTTTAGACGATATCACTTCCCATAGCCATGAGCGATATTTTCATATCGAGTTACCGACAAGAGCAGATGAATGATTTCTAGCGAGTCTGGTTACATGTATATTAGTCTTTTGTTCTACTCAGCCAGTCGTTATCACATGCATAAATACCACGGGTATTGACATATGAACACTATTCAAAAAGCCGAATACTTGTGGTGATTTTTGCAGATGTCGTTGGAGGAATTGGGATCATGTCAAATGTAAAGCGAAAAGCAATGCAGACTTACAATGCAAGCTCAAATATCATTGGGAAGCTGCACACTGAATCCCAGTTGCCCAGCTAAGGAGCACACCAGCAAGTAGTTCGCAGTGCTTACTAAGCTAGAGATTAAGATAAGAAAAAGAAGCGATATCACGTGCATAGACGAGAGGGTATCATCACGTGGTTTAGACGGGCGACTGGCCCACGCCACTCCCACGCAAAAATTAGGGCTGGCAATTCGACACTCCACCGCGAAAAAGGCGTTGCTCTCCCCCAAATTAACAATTCGTGAATCGTCATCCCCAACTTCACGCCTAACCACCACCGACCGCCAAGATGAGTACGTTTTACTGTTCCTGCTCGCCGTCTCGAGATCCCAAGCTACGACCCGGCTCGCCGTTTTTCGAAAGATGCTGCGCGAGATACAAGGGGAAGAAGATGGGATACAACGAGACTCTCTGCTCCTGTTGGTGATGTTTCGCACTGAGGCTGACTGTTGTTCCTGCGTGTAGCGAAGGGTACCTCCAGCTTTGGTAAGCGTCACAACAAGACGCACACTCTCTGCCGACGATGCGGTTAGTTTTTCTCTCTTCCACCGGAACCATACGGCAACCATGAAGCCTCTTTCGCAATCAAGGCCCTTTACGGAGATTCGATCGAGACCACGCCAGATACAAGGGGAGGAAAGAGCCATCGGGCACGGAGAAATGGCTCTTCTCTCGACGAATCGACCGGAGGGAAGCGATTGCGACGGAAGGCGAATTGGATTGAACGAATCAATGACTGAATTGGAATGCTGATTGTGGTTGGAATAGGCCGTCGCTCTCTGCACGTCCAGAAGCATGAGTGTGCCTCTTGCGGATATCCCGCCGCCAAGATGCGCAAGTGTATGTACTCCCTCACTCGGATTCGGCCTCCATTCAACGCACGAGACCGATCGTCTCTGTTGCGTTCCCTCCCCTGGCCAAGTGCGAGAATCCACAGTCTAACATTTTCCTCTTCTTCACAGACAACTGGAGCGAGAAGGCCAAGCGGAGAAGGACCGTCGGCACTGGCCGCACCCGCTACCTCAAGGAGGTTTCCCGACGATTCAAGAACGGCTTCCAGACTGGCGCCCCCAAGAACACCAGGCTTGGCAAGAAGACCGCTGAGCAGGAATCTTAAAGAGTGACATCGGCGTTTCGAGCTCTCTTTCTGCTGCTGCTGGTTTTTTTTTCTTTCGTCGCTACACCGGATCATGCACAAAAGGGTAGAGGAGGGAGAGAGAGAAACGAGGGGGGGAAAATAGAAGAACCAAAAAAAATAATCCGTCCACGAGGTTAATGAATCTTGGCGAAAAACCTTTTGCATCTTCTCCTCTTCTCTTATTTTTTACGACACGTGGAAAAACCAAGTGATGAGAGCGACGTTCCTGCCGGATCATTCTTTTTTTTTTTCATCTTCTCTTTTTTTTCCTGCTGCATGGATTCGAGTTGGGGTGGCGGTGGATGTAAATTTGGGCGATTGATCAAGGAAGGGGCTGGAGCATGGGACAAATGGTGTTTATAAAACGGACCCCAGTTGCTTTTATTTTCGCGCCGGTGGTTCCGTAGGGATTCGGGCGACGAAAGTCTGAAATGGCATCTTGATTCTTCACATGTCTCTGCTCCCGTTGCTCTCCATTTTGCAAGCTTTGAGATGCTGCATGTGATGAACATCCATTCCAAGCCTCAAAGGACGATGTTGACTGCTCCAAAAGCATTTGCGCTCTCATCTCTACATTTGTCCACGCATCTTTGTGACATTACACCAGATAACTCGCTTCTGTGTTTGATTGCTTGTCATTTCCAGAAACCCTGTAGGACAGCATACTATCACGTCCCTCTCTCAAATACCTTCACATTCCCATCCGCCCCAATGTGATACAAGTACTCTGCACTCTCCTCCTCCTCCTTACGCACCGCAATTCTCACCACGCCGCTGACATCCTTGGCCACACCCGTGTCTAGCAACCTGAGGCTAAGGACTAGATCTGCAGCATGCGTCTGAGCGAGCACCAACGCCGCGTGCGAGCGCTCCAACGATGTGGTTTGGGCGCGCAGGAGAGCGTCGTCTGCAGAGAATGTGAGGATTGTCGCATGAACTCGCTGATCGTCTCATGTTAGTGTGCCTGAAGCTATTTTTTTTCTTCTCTGCATTAAAGGGAGACAGGAGCAGTTATTGAGACTCACCTCTCTCAGAGAAAACAGCATCCCCTCCAGTGCCAGCCCAGTAACATCGTCCTCTCCGGATATCGCCAACAGTTCGTCTAGTTGATCAACAATCAAGACTTTGGATTCAAGTCTCACGTCTCGAATCGCTGCTTCGATGCCTCTCCTCACATCATCCAGCTTCCCACTCTTTAGAATCCTTCCCTTGTCTCCAGTAGACTCTGAGCCCTGGCCTCCTGAGAGCAGGCCCGTCAAGCCGTCTACGAAACTAAACTTGCCGGCCCTACTTAGGCCGTCCAGGTCCAAACCCTGACGAGAAACAATAAGTATTCTGTTCATAAAGGGGGAGATATTTCAGGGTCCTACTAGTCTGCTTGCGCCCTCTCTCCAAAATGCCAAGTCTCTCATGAAGCTCACAAGCACAACTCCAGAGTTCGTCTCTGCATCATCTGCGCCAGCGCCTCGCCCCTGCAGTAATGAGTAGAGATACCGTAGAACCAGCCAATTTGTCGTTGCCCCCATGACATTTGTCAAGACTATCAGCGATGCTTCCTCGGGCAGCCCGAGATACGACTCTAGGAGAGCGGGAACCTTGCTTGACATCTTTGGTGAGAAAAACTGAGATTGGTCGGTATGCAGATGTGGGTTTCGGTGTCACGCAAAGCTGGACCTATTCTTCGTTGGACTCTTGCATTCGTGATCAATACTAAGAGAGGTACCTTATGAAGAAGAAAAGGAACCGGAAAATGAAACAGAAAATACAAGTACGAATACGGCAGTTTCTCTTCGTCTTCGTTTACATCAGAAGTACTCTGTAGAGGTCAACGGCTCTTGAAGAGGAAAGAGGGTTAAGCCAGTGGTGGGGGCGGGGACTGTGCGAATACACATTAATTCCGACCCAACCGCACAGTACTGCATCTTTTGCTTCCCTACATGTATCCTCCCCCAACTCGCTCATGCCTTTCAAACACCATTGCAGAATGCCAGATCAAAGCTGAAAACGGTCAATTCAAGATCTTTTGCCTATATAGGTACGTCTACACCTACTGAACTGTCTTTTCATGGATGGCGCTGAAATCCTCACACAGTTCGTCAGGCATTATTCTCTTGCCTTGTTCATCCCATCATTCTCTCTCTCCGGGTCTCGGATTACCGCAAAGCATTGCTATATATGCGCTTCCTCTGGGTCGTAAAGACCTCCATGCAGCGTTCCCATGTGCTCATAGACTTGATCACCGCTCGAAAAGGTCTTCAAACAAACCCAGCAAATGTGACAGTTGCAAACTGTGCACGTCATATGATTGCACCCCGAGATCTTTTCCAGTGGAGTTTTGCAGCTCGGGCAGTCCTTTATACCCAGATCTTCCTTGAGCTTCCTGAACTCCTGGTAGCCTTCCGAAATCATGTAATGGTGTTCTTCGCACGACATGCCGACGTGTGACTCGTGGCAAGCGGAGCAAGTCGGCCTGAGACAGTTGGAGCAGTTCTGGATTCTCGACTCAGATGTGGCTCTATATATGTAGCCACAATCTGGAGTGGGACAGTAGCGGAACTCGTTGGGGTTGCGCTTGATATGGGATGAAAAGGATCGCTCAAGCACTTCCTCGAGCGCGGCTGAGGAGAGATGCTCCTGAAGATCCTCCACTCCTATAATGCTCTTACAATTCCCTTGGTTACCGTGGCAAAGAACAACGAAGGCTGCGGTCGTCACGTCCCCCACCCTGCAGCTTCTTTCGAAACATTCTAAGCAGTAGACGTGGCCACAGCTTGTCTTGATGGGAGTCTCGGCGCCTGTCCAACAAACAGAACACTCTTGCGTGGCATCGTCGGGCTTTGGTTGCTCTTCTGGTTCTGTGACTTGCTGTCTGCCTTCCATGATCGCTCGGGCAACATCATAGTCTTCCAGCGGCCCGGAGATGACAATCTTCTTGGGCGTGGAGATGATATCAAATGATGCCTTTTCTGGACCAAGCCACGTAGCAATCTTTCTAAAACCCCCATGGCAGGCCCAGAAAAACTCGTGAGGTTTAAGCTCAATTGCTCGGGTGGACGTCGAGAGCGATTCAAGGCGTATCAGTTCAGCCAACCGAAACTGCGCTTCTTCGCAACATTGCTGAGCTCCGAAAACACGCAGCTCAGATTTGCCTTTATCCCGAAGAATAACTACAGAGCATTCTTTCTCTAGCTTCTTTATTGCTTGATAAAGTTTGCCGTTCGCCTTGAGAGAGGGATCCCAGAGAACGGTATCAATTTCCCTCATAACGACTCCAGCAAGAATGGATTCGAGATCAGCCTTGGCCACAACGATGTCAACTGCCGACTCGCCTTCCATCTTCAAAAGCCTGAACCTCCGCAGGGGGTCCGTGCTGTTGTATGCCCTAAAGGTAATGTTCTTGCTCCTCCAAACTTTCTGCTGGGGCAAGATCCTTGGACAAACAGCGTCGTAAATGTTGGTGCCGGTTTTGAACTTGGCCGAGTACACCATCTGGACCGTCAATCGTGCTTTAGGGTGAAAAGGGAGCTCCTTTTTGTCAAGCTCTTCGGCAGCTCTCCGAGAGTCCTCCTCGTCCAAGAATCGCGCAGTTGCTTTGACTCGCCTAGCGTTCGTCTCAAGCGTCACCTCGAAATACTCCAAAGGTCCGACGTTCGTCAGAAGCGAGCGTATCAATGTGGTGGCCTGCTCAGAATCAGCCGAGTACGATGGAAGGCCTACTTCTATATGACGCGGCCTGTTCCGTTCTTGTGTTATGGCTGCCGAGATGTCGCTCCTCTCCGCAGTGGCCGGGACTTCGGTCAACATAACAGTCCATGCTACACGGTTGTTAGACGGCGACCACGGATGAAAAGTCGGTCTGGCTTCAGTAGCTTCCCCCGCGGTGACTTTCTGGTTCAAGATTCGATAGGCCCCCTTCGAGAACAGGTCGCTCACTCTCCGGGCAGCGTCTTCGGTGCCAAAGTTTAGCCAGACATTCCTGACTGCCTTATGCCAGGATACATGTACCTTCTTGCAGTCTACGCGCCGGGCATTATGGCTAGAGGGCATCGGCGCAGCGACAGGCGTTGCATATATCTTGACGCCCTCCCAGATGAAGCCAGGTTGAACGATGGCGCAGAGTTTCTTGGAAAACAATGCATCGTCCGATCTCACGGATGCGCCACAACTGCCTTCCATCTGCAACATATGCACATCGGCGACACTAACATGCAGCCCCGTTTCAGCAAGCATATCCCGAACCGATCCCTCCGAGGTGTTTAACGGCAACCCACTGATGCGGACGGCAGAAAAGTCGCTGGGCAGACGGATCTTGGATACGAGGGCACCTGCTTCGAACTGAACGAATGCACCCGCAATCGTTCGCGTGAAGTCGTCGTCTTTCTTTGGTTCGTCCTGCCACGGGTCAACTCAATATTCAGTCCTCAATGCACTCATCCCATTGACTACTCAAGGGAAGGATATTTGGTGAACCTGTACGGTAGGCGACTAACCTCGAACGCGTTGTCGGCCCCGACTTGCACTGCCAACTCTTCTTCTGCATGGCGAAACAGACACTTTTCTCCATATATACAGCTCCCCGTTTTGAAGAATCTGCAAACAGGCTTTGCACTTCCAGAGCTCCTCTCGGCGGGGGGATTGGTTGCCCTTGCTTTTTCGAGTTGTCCGCCTCGCTGCACAGAGTAAGCAGATGCTCCCACGCGATTGATTTTCCTCGACGGTTTTGTTACTTTTTGAGATGACAGAATAGACCGGCTCAACAAATTATGCGAAAAGGGACATGACGATCCCTTGGTACAAGACCCCGTCTGAAAGAATCGACAGGGCGTGGTAGCTCGCCAATCCTGACCGGAGGCGCGGTACCCTCCTCCCCTCGACGAGGCGAGACGGTTCGCTTTGGCACTCATCATGATCAAGAGCGCTACCTGTTCTGGGGCTTGGAAGGATCAGGTAGAGCAAGTCGACCGAGTTGGCGGTCAGACTCCAGATCCTCCAAGGCAAGCTCTTTTGCAAGATTGGGCAGCACGAAAACAGAGGAGGCTGCGGGCAGCTGCAGATTCGTGTCACTCCATGTTAGTGCGCGTTTGGAACGCTCACACTGTACGGTCAATGAACTTGTTGTCATTGGAAGTTGATGTTGGATGTTCCAATTGGGCCTTACTGCCTTGTTGCCTCGTTGGGTACCGCCAGGCCATGCAAGGATCCTACTATTGTATTACCCTTTATGCCGGGCTACAGCCTGCTCCCACCAAAAGATGCTACTGCTGCTGCGGTACCGGAGCAGCACATGCACGTATCATAAACGTCGTATAAGCTATAAGATTACCTGCTTCGTTGACATCAAGGTTGTTGGACAAAATCAAATCTTCAATCCGTCATTCACGGTCCTTGAACAGGGTGTATGCGTGGGCATATATATCTATAAGCATATCCAGGTATGCAAAGTATATCTACTTATAGGCAAATTCAATATTCCTCCATGGTCAACCAACTCCATACGCTTTGGAGCAATTGCTGCTGCTGAAAACTGACCTAGCCGAAACATGCAAAGAAAAAAGAAGAAGAAGAAAACAAGAAAGAGGGAGAGAACCCAACAAGATCAAGTTACACCAGGGTGATGGAAGGTATACACGATGCCGAGCAGCACCGTTGATCATTCAACCCTTTGAAAACAGAAATGAACGCCACGTGATGCTCATCGAAGACGGAACACGGGTGCATCGTTCTTCTAAAACTTTTCCATGAGATTCATGCGCGCCGTCCACATGCGCGCTCTCTTGCCAAAGATGTACATGGGAATGGAGCAAAGACAAAAGATGAGCTGAATGACGCCGAGATAGATGTAGACATTCTTTGAGCCGTCTGCCGCAAGCCACTGGGAAATAAACAGACTAAACACCAAGCCGTGGAGCACATTCTTTGAAAAATTGAGCGTCACCAAGGCTTCGCCTGCGTATTGACGGTAGCTGTCGACGCAAAATGTGATGGAGGTGGTCGAACCGAGGGAGCAGCCAAACGACGTAATGCCGAAGAAGATGGTGGGGACAATCCAGTTGTCCTTTTCTTCCGCCGACCATCCAAAGCCCATGAGCCCAATGCATGTGGCAAGCAAGATGGGAATGGCCATGACGAGGCGAAACTCTGGCTCGTACATGCCTCCGTTGCGGCGAGCCATGGCCCTGACAATGATGTCGCTTATCTTGCCCGCCACGCCGGTGCCAAGGATGCCGCCTACAAAGGGCGAGATGTAGACGAGACCGGCCTGGAGAGCCGTGAAATTATATCCATCTGGATTCCGGTAGATGACGGCCAAGTTTTCGGAAATTACAATCAACCAGCCAATGGAGCACGAATAAATGGCGGCGGACCAAAGGACGGCAGGATACGCATACAGAATGAATGGTCTAATCATGACCTTGAACCAGTTGTCGTTGTTGAGTCGTCCATGATAGGGCTTGAGTTGCTGAATAAAGGTCTGGGTAGGTTGGTTGCGGAGGTTGTGCGTATAAGCCTTAATCTTGGGGGGCGCTCTGAGTTTCCACGAGGGAAACTTTTCGTTGTCGAGATTGGGCGCGGTCGAGTAATACTCGGTAACCATCATACTCTCGGCAGCGTTCTGAGCATGAGGAGACGCTTGAGGGACGGACCGGCCACGGTCGGGAGCGATACTGGTCCGCGGGGATGTAATGGAGGGTCGAGCGCTATAGATTGACGGCCCGCGCGAGGTATCTCGGCGAGCTGCATCTTCCTGGCCATGTTGCTCTTCTTTGTGGCTTTCCGACGATGCAAGAGCGAATCCCACTTGAGGATGTCCAGACGGCGCCGCCGAGTCCTTTTCAATAGTTCGATGGACATCGTTTGAGGAATCTTGTGCCTTTAGGCCTGGCGTGAACTCGACATGTATGTCCCTGCGACGCTCAATTCTACCGGGAGAGGGTGAGCGCGCCGGTGATTTACCTCGAGGAGAGAGAGGGCCTGCCGATGAGTGAGCCGGATTCGCATGGCGTGATGAGAGTCGGCGAAGGAAGCTAGGTCGTTTCGAAACTCTTCGTGTTGGCGTTCTGTCCCAAAACGTCTCTGGGGCGAAGAGAAACAGGAGTACAAATCCAAGTCCCACAACCATGGCAACGATGCTATGGAGAAAGAAGAGGTCAGCAAAATTTGGAAGGAGAGGAAGCGGGCGAGGAGGGCTCCAACATACAAGAAAACCCATCGCCATCCAAAGCGGCCAATAATGGCAGCGCTGACGAGAGGAACGAGGTTCTTGCCTCCCAGGAGCAAGAGGGTATAGATTCCAATGCGGTATGCACGCTCGTGGAGGAAGAAGATTTCGGCAATGGTAGCGGACGGCAGGCACTCTACCGGAGAAACAGCAATGCCTTGGAAGACTCTGGCGGCAATGAGAGAAGAGAAGCTAGGCGAGTATCCACACCAGATGCTGGTACCGATGAGAAGAATGGCACCGGCAAGGTATACGGGCCGTTTACCGAACAGGATGGCCGTGGGAGAGGCAATGACAGAGCCCATACCCAAGCCCATCATATAAAGACCGGTAGTCAGCGGCACACGCTCGACGGAAACATTCAAGTCGTGGGCAACATTTGTGAATCCTGCGGCAATGAGGGGCGTGATGCCGCCTCCAATCATGCAATAGAAGCCCAGGGATAGGAGAGCGCAATCGCGGCGCCAGGTGGGCCAGTTGAGGGGATCGTTGGAGGAATCTTCTGGCTGCGGGTCCAAGATGATCTTACCATCTCCCGTCTTCTTCTTGGCTTCGGCTTCCTCAACCGGCGGCTTCTCGGGAGCAGACGATGGAGACGATGGCGACAAGGATAATGGATGAGTGCCGCCGGGTGTCATGGGAGTCTCGACGGGGAAGCCGGCCGGAATGGAGGAATGGGAAGTGCGAGCATGAACATTGCGGAGGCCGAGAGGCTCGTTGCGATGACTAGCAAGCAACAGAACAGAGCCTGTCAGACGAGGAGGATGCGTTAGTGAGATGCTCCACGGAGATGAGACTGTACAGAGAAGAGAATGAAGCAGAAGAATCGGATTGCTCACCTGGCACCTCGACGGTTTCCGGATCGTTTAATATGCCCATACTCCATCTCTCAGGCCCAGGCTTTTCGCCTTGGCCTTGGGCATCGGCGTTGCCACCAAAGAGACGGCCGAGGCGCCAGCGGCCTTGCTGGGATGCCCCTTCAGGCGCCATTGCGACCTGGCTTGGTAATGCTGTTGGAGGTAGAGAGGATAGGAACTGAGGCAAAGCAGGGGCCTAGGCAAAGTTCAAGCTCGGAGGAGGAGTATCAAAACCAATTTCCAAAACGCAAGGGTCCTCAATAATACATGGAGCAGGCCGAGTTTCTAGCTATAGGATCGAAATGGGCTTTTAGGAGGAGTGGGGGGGGAGGGTTGCTTGTCTCAGATGGCTTCCGGTCTAAGAATAACTATGAGACACGCAACGAGAAATAGGTTCGAGGAATTGGCCGAAAGAGGAAGTCTTGAGAGGGAGCACAGTCAGGATCAAGTCTGGACCGGTTGCGTGGGGAGGGAGGGCTGACAAGAACGATTGGAGTAAGACAGAAGTCCGACACGTCCAGACTTGTGAAAGGCCGAGATGCTTTTGGTTGCAGCCTCGCGTCGTTCCCGATGGAGCCCCGAGCCGGATGCCGTGGAGAGGTGGCGAGATGGACGCAAGACGAGGTATCCAAAATTGAGGGTTGATAGGAGAGGAGGATGGATGGATGGATGCCGTAGATGTAGAGGAGAGGACCAAAATAGGGCAGGAAGCCGAGGAATATGAGGAGGAGGAGAGGAAGAGGGAAGAGAAGAGGAGGAGGAGGAGAGATGGCGAGCGGTGGAGGCATGAAGCTTTGGTGCGTCGTCCGCGCTTGCTCGTGGTCTAGACTAACAACTACTATGGAAACGAAAAGACCCCGAGATCTAAGCAAGAGAGTTTAGCGCGAGATCTGGCCTTGAGAGTTGGCCCACTCGTCTGATAACATTAATCAACTGATACTTTCCTCTGTAGGTACTCTGTAAGTTAGTACCAAGGTAACCAACTAACCGTTGTCCCATGTCCGATGGATGGATGTCAAACCACCCTGGACTGGACTGGACTGGACTGGACACCATCACCATCACCATCACCAACCATTGAACCCTGCCAGCCAACCTTGATGGGCTCAGTTGGCCCAGCAGATCAGCGACACTAACAACGTCGAAGCCAGTAGCCCCAACGCGCCGACATGGATCAACTGGATTTGCCTCCAACCATGCGCTGCGACGAGTCAGGTGAAGCGCATGCGATGCTGCACATGCCACTGCCTGCGAACCCCCACCGGCGCTCTCTCTGAGTCCCTCTGGCTCCCGCTGGCTTCCCACTGGCTCAGCGCTTTCCCCGCTATGACGGCAGCGCACAGGGAGCGAACGAGAGCCCTGGAACGTTATGTGCGCTTTGGTCGCCTAACTCGAGGCTGCACTGCCTTCCAGGGCATGGACGCCTCCAGCTAGGTCTGCACGGCCGTTGAAATTTCAGGTATGGATCTAATTTGATCCATGGCTGGCGGCTCACGCGGTCAAACAGCTGGGAAAGCCCCAGAACCTCGTCCCATGCCATGGATGCCATCCATCCCACTTTCACCCCCGCAGATTTTCGACCAAGCGGTGGATGCGACGCTGCATGGATTCAATTCAGTTGCATTTGCATTTGCATTACGAGCGAGCAGGGCTGCAACTCTGGTTGAATCTACCGAGTCTGGAATGTGCCACTGTACCTACTCCGTACATAATATGCAATATACCTAGTACTGTAGGTACCTGTATATCCCGGATGCGAGGCTCGAGGTAACCACCGCCCGGTTTTTTTGCCATCGAGCCGTGCCGCCGCAACCCAAACCGTGCCAACAGCGTCCCGAATTTGGCCCGTGCCGGCATCAATCTTTAGACGTCGCACGAGTACCTACTGTACTCCGTCTGATGTTCCTCTAGTTGGTCCGTTTGATGCATCTCAACTGGCTTATCGAGTACATATAGTCAGTCATTTGATCCATCTTTCTCAACACCAAACAGAAACCATCACCAACCATGTTCGCCTAATCCCAAGGCAAGCCCCCCCCCCCTTCC